CATGAAGTCGAAATTAAAACCCCAAAGCCGAAATGTTTCGACTTGAAGCAACTACATAGTAAAAATCAGTTTCGACCTTATTTCGACCCTATACTTCGACCAGATCCGCAAATGATCGAAATAGTTTCGACTTCATGTATAATGATAACACCTCTCTAATTTGTAAATCTTATTAAACAAACAATGATAGCTGCTGCTGGTGGTAGTGGTAATCAAAAGTAATCATAAAGTTAGATTATATATACAGTGTGTTGCGAAAAAAATTGCGCATAAATAAAAACATATATCTCAACAATCACGCATTGAAATTAGATAAAAATAGATTCATTTGAAAGCCCATTATTTATTTTATTAGATGCAAAAAAAATTAATAGGAAATTCTATCCATTTTTTTGTAATATTAATTCACAACAATTTTTCATAGATTTAATTAAATTTTGTACAGTTTCTTGGGGGATTTTATCCCATTCTTCAACCATAAATTGTTTCAACTCACTAGTATTTCCTGGCATTCTTCTTTCTACATTATTTTTTACGATCTGCCACATATTTTCAATGGGATTCAGATTGGGACTGTTGGATGGCCAGTCTAAAACATGAATATTATTTTGGGATAGAAAGTTTTTGCAACACGCAAAAGTGTGCTTAGGATCATTATCTTGCTGCAAATGCCAGTTTCTACCATACAACTGTTGAGAAGCAGGAAGAATCTGGTTTTGCAAAATATTCACATAAAAAGGACCATCCATTATTTCTGTAAAGCAAAACAAGGGGGTTTTGCCATTCAATGAAATTCCACCCCAAGCCATTACCTTTTGTTGTGATTTTGGTAATCTTCTAACTGGTATTTCTCCATTTTTATACCATCTTAAAATTTTATTGCGAAATAAATCGAAGGCAGTCTCGTCTGTAAAAATGGTATAATCCCAGTCATCATTCAAATGAGTTTGTGCCCATGTTTTTCGAGCATCAATATGACTAATGGTAAGCATTGGGGTGGAAAGTGGTATGGCACTATTATACCCTTTTTTGCCATGTGTCACCAGATATTAGTATGTGAAATAGATATATTATGTGTATCTTGAATTCGAACTGCAAGTTGGCGTGTTTTAATGCAGAGTTATGGTGAACTAATTGCCCGATTGGCCGCGAAACTGTTTGTGTAACCTTATAACGGCGACCATTACGCCAATATGTTTAATAGTACCTTTTTCTTTGAGTTTTTTGATATTGTACTGAATGGTACGAAGGGAGATCTTTGTTTTTTCATGTATTTCTTTGGCAGTACAAATTCCATTTAGCCAGCAATGTAGAATTGTTTGACGTTGCGCCTCAAGTTCTTTATTGACCATGTTTGCAACCCTGTGAGCACTTTGTAGACGTACCATGATATTGCGTTCAAGAAATTGAAGGCAAATTTTTGAAATGTGATTATCTCGAAAAATAGGCGAAGTTCAATGCTGTACTAGAACTTATACAAAACAATCTGCTTGATACACTCATGAGTGAGTAGTGTATGATGAAAAGTATGATCGGCTTGAAAAGCTTTTTGAAAAAAAAAAAATCGATATTTAACAAAATTTAAACAAACCGTATACAGTCAAACCTCGTTTTCAACGAATCTGTGGGGACACATAAGAAAATTACATCTAAAATTTATTACTATTATACCAAAATTACATATCGCGTTTCAGCGAATGGTTTTACATGCGAAGCAAAGATTTTGAAAAATTCGTTTGAAACATTTAATTATAACTCGTTGAAACGAGATTTGACCGTATAATATATATATATATCTATATGAGTTCTCAAAGTTATTTTCTTAAACCATTTCTAAACTAATTTCCAATTGGTTTTTATTACTATTACTATTACTATTAGTAATTTTACGAATAATAAATTTGAGACATTACCTATATTTAACAATATTTAACAATAAAGAATATCATTAAAACTTGTGGTTTATACTAAAAATTCACATACTGTTGAATTTTTGGCGAATGAAATCGAGCACATATTATCTATGAATAACATAGAAAAATTTACTGATCTTGTTACTGATGGTGCTGGAAACGTCAAAGTAGCAAGACAAATGATTAATCAAAAACATCCAAATATATTAAATTTAAAGATGCATTCCATAAATCTAATGACCAAATATATTATAAACTAAATGGGATATGATGTTCTTCATAACTGTTCAAAAATTATTTCATTTTTTAAGTATTGAATGAAGCAATAAAAAAATTTGAGATGTGGGAATTAAAGCATACATAAAAACACATTGGTCCTCGGCTTGGGATTGTTTATATTCTGTTAAACGATTGGAGGGTTGCTTTGTCTGGATAAAACTTTGACATTATACTACATTAAAATCACTCTTTTTTTCATGGATTATTTAGACGACCCTTCTATCATTACTAATAGAGAATAGTACGAATTAGAAATTTTTTGCTGATGTAAAAATTTTATAAGATATTCTGAAACTCGTCGTAGAGTGTCGTATTGATGCCACATTCAAAATAGAGGTTGGCACCGCGCAAAAATTCTTTAACCGGTTAATTTAGTCACGTGGAATTTTTTAACTGGTAAATTCGATCATTCATTACTTACAAAATAATCACGCATCTGTCGAATTTTATTATTATACACTTAATAGATGCTAAATGATTACAGTAACACCTCGCCACAGCGGATTCATGGTTCCGGCCAAAAAAATCCGTTATTAACACTCATAAAAATTTGCTCAAAACCCGTAACACTGCTTTTTTCCTTACTTGGGATAGATTGTATGATTTTGGTTTTGATCTACCATTTTTTTTTGTTTGCCTATTGATGCAATTTTTAATAAAATAGATAATTTCATGCTGCCCCTAAAAAAAATGTAAAAAAGGGTGCATTGATTTTGCTTTTTTACGTTGCATTCGAATTTGAGGGTTGAAGTACATAGTGCTGAAATGGTCTTCTATACATGATTCAGCTTTACACGTTACATTTGAAATGCGAGGTGTCTATATATATATTCGTTCGGAGTATCAACATTAGCCAGTCATATTTTTTTTTCGTTGCGTTGAGCAAAAAATTTATTTATTAAAAAATTACATCATATACAAAGGGAAATTGTTTACGGGCTTAATAAATTTAACAAAAGATCCTTCGCAAAGAAGAACCCTCATCCGAATTAAAAGTTATTTACGAATTTCGATTGTTAAAAAAATCAACCAAGATTTTTTTTTCCTAATTAAAAAAAGAGATATTTTTATCCTGATCTTTTCCTTGTGGATCAATTAAATTAAGTCTATCGCTGTAGAAGGAATTTGCATGATACGGCGATATAAAAATAACCACAATCACGTATCGTTTTTGGTAAACGAAAATATTTTTGTTCAAATTTCAATTTGCAAGTCAGTGCATTCAAATTGTTAAAATATAAATATTACTATTACTCTCAAAAATTCATTTAGAAAGGAACCGTACGTAACACAGCAACTTTTCTTTTATGCATGTAACCACCCACATTCATTAAAAACAAAAGTCGAATTTTATATTTTATATTTTTATATATATTATTATTATTATTATTAGTATTAGGGTGTATTCGAAATGTTTGAACGAAATTATTATCGAAACAAACCTATTTCGTCATCATGTGTGCTTTTTAGTCGACATGAAAATTAAGTTCATTCGTTATATATAATAGACAAGATTTTGTTCCCAGCTTGCCTGCCTTAACTGAGAAATTATGAAATAAATAAAATTAATAATATTTTCGTTTTGTAGATTATCACCTTGTAACGCCTTGTGTTATAAATAATTATTCACGGTACCCACAGCCACATAAGAATCTTGCTATTACTATAGTCCATTTTGTGACAAGGTTTGGATTTCTATTATGAGTACAAACTCCAGATTGACTGAAAGTTATATTAATACAGAAAATTATCAAACAACTTACTCCTTGATTATGAATACAACGAGACTTTAAATTGTGATCTAATAATAAATTATAAATGAAAATAAAATAGTCTAACAAAAGAACTTCATGCATTATTCAAAAAGGTTAATATCAAAGAAAATTAATGGTCATGTAAAAATTTTTCCGTTGTGCGATAAACATCTATAACCAAAACAACCTACCAATAAAGTATATAGGAAAGTTAATGTGAAGTTAATATTAATAGCAGTGACAAAATGATCATTTTGTTGAGTTCTACCCTGTATAAAAAATATTACGCATAAAAAATTTGCTAATGTAACTAATTTCCAGTTTCCATGTTTTTCATATTGTACTTGTATTATTCACAACAAATAACATCTTCATTTTGATATTATTACTATAGTTGTTGTAAAATTTTCATTTGACGGTTATGGGAAGGAGTTTTGTATTTATGAGTATCCTTATAAAAGGCAAAAATAATAACCCTTGTTTCAAATCGGAAATAGCAAAAGCAGCAGGTTTTATTTACAATACAATACAGAATGTTGGTGAATAATGCAAAGAAACTGGCTAAACTTGCGGATAGACTTAATCTGCACGAAAAAACTCATATTGCTTATGAGGAGCTTCTTAAACATTAGGCGTAGAATTGATAAGGATCGCTTTAAAGTTCAAAATATAATCCTTTAAAAACAACGGCTAAATGCACCCAGATAAGTTTTTCTAGTAATTTCTCGTTTTCCTTCTTTTATTCTGTTCTAGCATTCATAAAGGATAACCCAATACAATATGATCTCGACAGCGCTCGAAGTAATTTAATGTTAGAAGGATCATTTAATGACGTAATGAATTTAATTTTTTAATTAATCAACAATTCTCTTTATCGGTAGTGATTTGGGTCATTCGTTATGCGAACTATTTCATTCTAACTTTTAATTTTTCAGAACTCGCCTAATGCATGAAAAAAGTTTGCAGGTAGATATTTTTCTTGGCAAATTCAAAAAAAAATTTTTTTTTTTAATATTTCATAGAAAGTTGTCATTTTAATACATTTATAACTGTGTCAACTATCAGCATCCACAAAACCAACATCCACAATATCAACCTCAACAGTATCAACCTTGACAACATCAACCTCAACAAAACCTAGATCGATAAGATCAACCTCAAACAAATATCCCGATCAACAATATTCCCTTCAACAATATTCATCCCAACAATCTCCATTTCAACAACAAATTACCTTCGGAAATCCACAACCCAAACCACGACGATCCATTCAACTTTTTTTAATACTGATTTCATTAATATCAGAACCAATTGCACAACCTGATATTTTTCCATTTATTTTATTATTAAGAATATATTTAACCTTTTTTTTTGTAAATAAAAATACATATCTATAATCTTTAAGTATATTAGAACAAAGTATAGCAATAGTACAATTTCTATGGTATTCCACTAGCCAAATTGGAAACTATACACACAGTGAATCTCGATTTTTAGTGCCCAAGAAATTTATCCGCTAAATCAAAATATTAATATCCGTAAAAACAAGAAATATGGAATTAGCGGATTTTATTATTATTATAAACGTGATACCCGTTATATAAAAATCGTATATATTAATAACAAATAAATTTAACAATTCCAAAACTTGATTGTTGCCTGTAAAATGAAGAAAAGAAACATATAACCATATTTGGTTATATATGTAAGAACCAAAAAGAAATGATGCAAAGAATAATTAAAGAAACTCACGAGCATTTCAATAAAAGATAAACAAATGACAAATTGAAAATAAAATAAAATAACATTTATTGACCTAGGAATATCACAAATTTTAAGGAATACATAATAGAAATCACAAAAAATCATAGAAAGGCAATCAATATACAAAGAAATTTGGAATGATTGGATACTTTATAAAATATGGCAGCAGTTGGAAAGATTTTTGCGCAGGTGGAGGTGACAATACTGGCAGTTTGTCACTTTGTTCTTGATGAAGTTTAGTGGCATGCCTAAACTGAATATTATAAACAATAATCAGACTAAATGGAAGGAAAAAGTCAACCCAAACGGGTTATAATTTATTACGAGGGTAGTAAACATTGTAACATAATTACATCGTTGCATTGTTAAAAAAAAAAAAAACAAAAATAATTTGCCCAAATAAAGCAAGTAGGTTAATGTTAAAGCCCCGTGTAAAGAATATTGTGCAAAATTATTAAATTTATTTATAAACATTTTTGCTGATGTAATTAAATCTATTTTTACATACTGTATTCGTATTATTTCACAAAAAAGCTCGTTTCATTTTGTTATTATTATTGTTGTTGTTGTTATTGTAAAGTTTCACTAATGGTCATGGGAGTGAATTTACACTTATAGATAGATATCTTTATAAATAAAAGACAAAATAACAACCTTCCTCAGATTAAATAAAATCAATAAAAAATGGAAATAGCCGCAGCAAGTTTTGTTTATGGTAGGATAAAGGATTCTTCCAATGTCAAGAGTCAATACACGATGTTGTTGAGTAATGTAGACCAAATGATTAAACTTGTGGAAAAACTTAATGCGCAACAAAAAGCTCCTGCTACTTATGAGAAACTACTAAACCTTAGGCGTAGAATTGATAGGGATTGGTATGAAGTTCAAAATAATCGTTTAAAAACAATGGCTAATTGCAATCAGGTAAGTTTGTCTATATATATCTGAATTTTGTATAATGATTTCTCATTTTCTTCCCTTTCTTCTGTTCTAGCATTCAGAAAGGATAACCCAATATAAAAATGACATCGAAAATGTCCGAAATCAATTAATGTTAGAAGTATCACTTAGTAACGTAATGAATTTATTTTTTTAATTTAATCAATAATTCTCTTTATCAGTAGTGATCTTTACATGAACTATTTCATTCTAACTTTTCAATTTTTTTCAGAATTCGTCTCAAACGCACGAAAGAAGTTTGCAGGTAAATATTATTACGTTTGATTTCTTGGAAAATTAAAAAAAAAATTTTTTTTAATGGAAAATTTGTCATTTTAATATCATCCACAAAACCAAACCATCCACAATATCACCATCCACAATATCAACCTCAACAGTATCAACCTCAACCTCGACAATATCAACCTCAACAATATTCAAACCAACCCCCGCCATATCAACAACATTCCCATCAACAATATTCATCCCAACTCTATGCACCTCAACCATATTCACCTCAACAAAATAACCAATTCCAGCAGCCCATGTACCAACAACAACAAACTATTACCTTCGGAAACCCATACCCCAACAACAACGATCCATTCAACATCCCTTTTTTAAAAAGCGGGGTTACCATCACCACCCCATCATTCCTCAACAATAACCAAGGTTTATTTCAACAACCACAAATTAGATTTCACTAGTTGGTAAACGCAGAGTATAAAATTTTATACTTGCATTATTTTTTTAATACTGCTTGCCCAAAAAATTCACACTATAAAAACTATTATATATTAATGGACTTTTTGAATTCGAACTTTTTATATTAAATTTATAAACTAATGTCAGTTTGTACCTTAGTTTCTCACATATATATATATTAATTTCATAAAAATTTATCGGTTTGTAAATCTTTCCTTCTGGCAAAGAAATAAATAAACTTAATATCGAAGATCTACGTTGGAGCCGACTGCACAACATGATACCTTCCCATTTATTTTATTATTACTGTATTAAGAATATTTAGACCTTTTTTTTATCAATAAAAGAGAACAAAAAATTACATACCTATAATCTTTAAGTATATTAGAACAAGGAAAATATTATATACAATGATTTTTAGCAAATTTCTATATATTTCAGTGGACATGACTAACCAAATTGGAAACAATGCATATAATTGATGAATAAATATTAATGATCAACAAGGAATATCATTATAAAAGCCGAACCTTTTCCTCAATCGTTAAAGACAAAGAAATTTTACTCAAATAAACAGACTAAAAATGACTAGAATTGAGTTATTTCCAATAAAACGATGGATGAATTCAACCCAATATTAAGAGCCAATACAAAATGTTGACAAAACAAATAGCTAAACTTGCATATAAACTTAATCTACATCAAAAAGCTCCTATGGCTTATGAAGAGTTTCAAAGATTGATCAGAAATTCGGAATCATTTTTAAAAGGTAAAGTTTGAGTCTGCTTTAATAATTAAATCAATGAATCGGTGAAATGATTGATATATTTCATAGTGGGAAATTGATCCAAAGATTATATATATTTTTTTTTTTGCTTTTTATGGGTTCAAAAAAAAATGATGTTCATTTTGCACATGACTATTTACAATAATTACGTAATAGTAAATTAGCCGCTGCTGTTTCGCATAAAATAATAGAATTGGAGGTTAAACCATAATCGCGTTATTTCACTTTTTTATAATATTAACATTATATTTAATTCATATTCGCTACAATGTCTAATATCGTTCTTCCTCTTTGTGTTCCTTCTTCATACAAAGATCAGCAATACCATGTACTTTCAAAAATTATTTTTTCCTCTCTTTATTAAAATTTTCAATTAAATTTTTTTTACTAAATCTGAAAAAAATTATTTTTAAATTAGGGATCTACTGTAGAACTTAGCAAAGATCTAGCCAATAGTACAACCTTGTATGTTGGAAATTTATCATTTTATACAACAGAAGAACAGATCTATGAACTATTTTCAAAAGCAGGAGAAATCAAAAGGATAATTATGGGATTGGATAAATTTCAAAAAACACCTTGTGGTTTTTGTTTTGTTGAGTAAGTTAGGATTTTTTTATTTTTTAAGGGGAAAAAAAAAATTTACTTAATATTAATCATTGAAATTTTTTTTTTTGTGGTTGTTTTTGTTTTGTGAAGGTACTATTCACATAAAGATGCATTAGATTGTATGAAATATATTAATAGTACTAAATTAGATGAAAGAATCATTAGAACAGATTTAGATCCTGGGTATAAAGATGGAAGACAATTTGGAAGAGGCAGATCTGGCGGTCAGGTATAATATATTTACATATAATGCATTATAGGAATTATTTGTTTATTCATGTAAACAATGTAATATATTGTATAAATAATAAATATAGGTTAGAGATGAGTATAGACAAGATTATGATACAGGGCGTGGTGGATGGGGACATTTTCGTGCAAAGCAAGAAGCAGAACGTGCAAAAAGACAAAAAGAAGAAAATGAAAGAATGACTGGTTTTCGGTTGCTCTACAATATCCACTTCTTTATGCACCTCCTTGGAGGATCTGCTCAAACATCGGAGGTAGACGACATTTGTTAGTTCAAATTAAAGTTATATAATAATGAGTTTATCCTTATTGATGCTCGGGATATTCTAAAGCCCCGAATTAATGTATCACTAATTTTTTTGTATAGACAGTATTAGTATACATTTACATTCAAAATTTACAAGCACATATTTTTTAATAGATTACGTGAAATTAATTACAGCCACTAGTTTGTGTTAAAGAATTATTATTTTGTTGCAAGTAATTATTATTCACAGATAAATTTTTAGAATGATATGTAATTAATGGAGTATATGATGTAATCATACAATGTTACACATTACATCCCGATTGGTATAATAAACGTTTGTAGAATCTCTACTGTGAATCTTTCATCAATTATACCTTTACAAACTGACACTTAAATATACAACCTGCATTATACATTCCTTTAATTATTTCAATCAATGATGCGTCAACAATTATCTAACTAGTATAAAAACAATTAATTAATTAATTATTTATTATTGTAATAATTTATGTATATATTATTGTAATAATAATAAATTGACAAAACTACCGAATCAAAACACAATCTTACATAATCTTCATGTGGCTGTGATACAATAAGTGCATATTAATACGCGCTTTAGAAAAAACGCGTCTGTTTTTTTTTGGTTTGATTTTAAATTTTAGGCAGGAGACACAGGCTTTTGCCAAGTCTACAAAATAGGATCTTGACTTCATGATGCAAAAGAAAGTTCAAATGGTAATTAAGGTAATTGAAAACAAACACTATATATCATTTATTTCATCTAAGAAATTTAGTAAGTGTGCCCTAACAAAACAGCAATCCAGGTTGCAACTTCCTAAGTTGCCGTCACTGATTTTATCTCATCAGCAATCAATACTGTAATATAATAGCCAAGCCTGGTTTGAGAGGAAGATAAGGGGAGTTTCATCAACTCAAAAAGCCTTCTAACACAAAAGAAAGTTCAAATGGTAATTAAGGTAATTGAAAACAAACACTATATATCATTTATTTCATCTAAGAAATTTAGTAAGTGTGCCCTAACAAAACAGCAATCCAGGTTGCAACTTCCTAAGTTGCCGTCACTGATTTTATCTCATCAGCAATCAATACTGTAATATAATAGCCAAGCCTGGTTTGAGAGGAAGATAAGGGGAGTTTCATCAACTCAAAAAGCCTTCTAACATGTGGAGTGCTTCAAACTGTGGAAAAAATTCCATGATGCTGAAGTGTGTTAAGAGCACTTGACCATATGTTTGTGATGGGAAAATTCTATTAAATCTGACACCTGTAATCATCACCAGATTTATTTTATTATTTCATTTTCAAAGGAACTGTTTCAAAAATCTATTATCATTGTTTTATATACCAGTAGTTAATTTTAAATGACGGAGTTTAAAAAAGTCACCAATGCTCATTATGTATATACTAATATTGTACATACATGGTTTTTTT